GTTTCATATGCATAAATAAGCATCATAGGTAACCAGAAATTAAGAAATGGCATTAGCTTAGGCCTTAACAAAAAAACAGTTTTCGTCATACTTTTGCGGTAATGGCACAAAATGCGCTACGCTTATCGGATGAGGGTGTAAGACCCACCATCTCGAAGCTAAAAGACAGGGCTACAACAATGTAGAAGGCCACTCAGTCCAAATCCTAGCACAACTAGGTCAAAAATGCAGATTACCAAACCAGAACCGCAATTGCAGGTTCCCAAATCGCACTATGCTGTAATTAGTCTATTTCAGTCTACACAAGTCCAAATGCATTGATTCCAAAGGCATATGATAGCTAAGACATCCATATACATTTCATCAGAAGACACCAACAACAAAATCCAAACCAATTCCAGTCAAAATGGCCAATTACTAGTGCAGTTTTCACATTCTAATCAACCCAGAACAGCAACAGTAAAATCGACATATCTCACTCTACACTAATCCAAATGACCTGAAATTTTGCAGACACTTCAAACTCATCAATACCTACAACTTTCATGTTTTGAGCAAAGGCCAATTCGGCCTCTAAGCCTATGATCCAAAACCGGACAGAAAAGGGGGTTGAAAAACCCTAACTTTTCTCATTTCACTCAAAACCCAAAATTGGTTGCATTTATCACTAATTCACACCTACTAGAGTCTTTATAGACTATTGCCAATCATCAAAGATAGCCACAACATCACATTCATATTAAACCAGAAAATTCCTCAAAAATATAAAAACTTCACCAAATCACTTCAAATCAAGAAATAAATCACATATATCATCACTTTAGCCACTACTAAACATAACTTAAGCTTCATTAAGTGCAAGAGGAAATTCACACACCACTCACCTAGTAACCAAGAGAGATAGAGATGTTGGACACCTTAGCTCTTCAAACAAACTTCACTAAACTACCTACTAGCACCCAAGGAAGGCATTTTATGGAGTGGAATCTAGTTTAAGTATTTGTTTTTGGAAGATTGAACCAAATGGAAGGTTGAAAATTGATGAAGTTTTCTTCCTTCTTGAGCTTGAGAGGGCCGGCCACCAAGGAGAAGAAATGGTGAATTTTTAGTGATTTTTTGGAGATATTAACCACTTAGTCAAAAATAGTCAAAAGTATGAATAGTTGTCTACAAGTCCAACCAACCAACAAGTGACATTTGGCACTCCATTAATGCATGTCAATCCTTTTGTTTCCTCTCACATCAATCAAATCCCACTCTCTACTTATCTCTTAACACCCGATAAATTTCACACAGTATCCGAAATTTAACCTAATTGGCCGAATTTTTCCGAACTTTTCGCACTAGTGGGTCCCACGTCCAATATATATTCTTAATTTTTCTAAAAATTCTCCAATACTAGAAAAATCATCTAAAAACTATAATTACTCATAAAATTCACCAGGAAAATATTCCTAATCCCGAAAATGCAGAAAACATGCAATTAAGGGGAAATAAACCCTAGGAAAAATATTAGGGAAATACGGGTTCTCACATGGTTCTCGCCCTAGCATTTGGCAAGGGTTGGATGTATGACGAATTGAGAACCGTTGTATATTCGATGTTTGTACTCTCTTTTGGGATATAAATGTATATAAGTTTCGCTTTAAGTTTTGGATTGTTGCTACATGTATTCCTGTGATTTTATTCCAATTTTAATTGAGAACGGAAGCAAACGACTGAGTCCCGGCGAGAACTGGGCAGGCGGTCCGCCAAACCCTTTGGTTTGCCTTAGGGGGAGGTGGGGCTGTCACAACATCCATAAAGAGAATACCCGTTTTTTGTTATGAAAGAAAAAATCTTATACAAGAATACAACTGAAATCCAAACCCAACAGTTGTATACCATCTTTCACACCTAAAAGTCCTCTCTTACCCCATGTACAAAGCTACATGGCTCCTTGTGTGCCACTTTGTAGTACACTAATCCCCACCAATTTATAAGTCACACTTATGGACCAACATCAAAATAACAATAGGATTTAAATGCTAATTCCTAAACTCATACTGTGATACCCTAACTTTTCGGATACTATTATTGTTTAGTCTCTTAGAGGATATTACGATTTCTTTATTTAAGATATTGTTTTGTTTTAAAAACGAGAAAACCCTAAATTCTAGAAACCCTAAAGTCTGATAAAAAATCCTAGTTTACTTGTGACTAATCGATTTTCTTAAATCTCTCATTTTGAATCGAAACCCTAATTGTAATCACTGGAATTGTAAATTCCCTCATATTTTCTTAAAATTCCTTTTATTTGACATTTACTCCCTTATAATAGTTATACTACTCATTTACATCCCCAATGTTTAGAATAAAGAATAGAATTAAGAGTTTTTCCTTTTGCATTCATAATTAGGGTAAACTAAGATTTTTACACCTATCCGTAGTGTGACTATCCGGTACAAAGAGTGGATCAAATTTGGTGATTAAGAGTGAGTTTTAGATGATATTAAGTGTGATATTGGAGGTGATAATAATAAGTTAGTGAATTGTAAATGAAAACCCTAGTACGTGCGAAATAAGGAAAAACGGGTTGAATCAATGTGTACCGTTTGTTACTGAATGAGTGCACCACTTGAACACTACTTTATTACCTTAATTCCCTTGTTATTAATTGCACAAAATTGGCCCTAAATATCTTCTCCTTTCAGCCGAAAATGTGGACCAAAAAAACAAGAGAGAAAAGAAAAATTTGACTTCCAATTAAATTGTGACACTTGTCAAACCTTTGAGATGGTGATGGAATGGGAATTTGATTCTTGAGAGCCATCCGTATCCTTATACTTTGGAATGATTATTGTTTATTGGATTATTGTTCTGCTGAAAACTTTTATACTCGCTTACTCTGAGATTTGTCACTTGAAATATTATTGTTCACTTTTCTGAACTTTTGATGCTCATTAATTTGCTACGTTGATATTCGTACTTTTAAAAATGGTCAATTTGTTATTTGGAACCTCACTGGGTTTTTAACTCATTTCATGCCATTTATTTTCCTTACAGGGGGGTACGAGCGAGGCGTGAGACGTGTACAGACTAGCATAATCTAGTTGTTTCGAATTTTGAATTTGTACTCACGCTAGTACCCGACTAAGGTTGATTGTACTCGAATTGTAAACATTTTAAAGTACTTTGGTATGTAGACGTTTTGTACCTGGATTTAAGCATCAATGTATATATTAAGTTGAAGTGGATGTGTTATTTATTTTCTATGGATATACGTTATTTTTTTCTTGAGCTACGAGTGAGTGATTTCTGGCGAAAGTTGGACAGGCGGTCCGCTAAACCCTGGGGTACGCCCTAGGAGGAGGTGGGGTCGTCACACATACAAAATAGGAAATAGTTTCTAATTCCTAAACTCATATAAAAAGAAAATTCTTTAACTACTATTTCAAGTAATTAAAACAATTAAGAAACTAGTTATTCCCGTACAAAATAAAGAACCTACTTAAAAGAAATTAAGCCACTGTGAAGAGAATCTAATAGAAATAGTAAAAGTGCATGCCATCAATAATGGAATTATCTTTCAAGTGCTCAGCAGAGCAACCTGAGGAGAGGATACTAATTGGAGATGTTCCAACTTCACTTTAAAACTAAAATAAAATTCTCCACATTAAGAGCTAACAAAAGCCCCAAAGATAGTACGCATAAGAGAAATTTAGAGTGATATAGTTTGATGCCATTGTAAATATTCCCACATTTAGACCAAATATAGGTGCAAATAATTTAGGGTAACAGTGATAACATCATAATTGATCTTTTGATTTTATATGAGCTAAGTGGTTGTAGCCTTTGTTTCTTCTCTTGTAAAACAGATAACAAATGTTGCCCTCTAAAGGATGTATATAATTCTCCCCTTTACTTGTACATTTTTTTTTGGTATGTTATTTATTGAATTTAATCAAGACAAAGCTCTCTTTTTGGTAACACTGGTTCACTTCAGTTCCCTAAACAACTTAGGATAACCAAACAGAGAATCTGTGCCAACTGAGCTTGTTTATATTGTGTACAAGAAAATAGTTTGAAAGGACATATATTTAGGTCTAGAATAACTTTTGCTAGAAACTTCCTGGTAAGTGGAAGCAGGTTCTTCTTTACTTGCCTCACATGTCAGTAGACTTTTCCTTTGAGGTAGCTCTACCACCCCAGTGTTGGAAACTTTTTAACTAATCCCTATGTTGAAAATTGCAATGTTTCACTTTAATATTATCTACATGAATTCTATTAGACTAGACTTTTTTTTGTTAAAACTAAAAAAAAAAAAAATCAAAGGATGCTGGCAGAAAGTCCATAAGATCAAAGGACTCCAACAACAAGGACATTATTATTATCTCTGGCTGGTAACTATTACATCAGTGTCCTCAATACAGTCAATACTTAACCATTCTTTAAATTAAAATGGTGCATTATAGGTTGATAGCTGAAGCTTGATTAACTATATTCTTTATAAAAATGCTTTACCAATTCTTAGATACTTCATAATTGCAGAACTCCGTTTTTGTTCCACACCCCAAGTCCAATAGAGTTTTATATCGACCTAATTCACTTCTCACAATTTCCGTTCCATGTATAAATGGACAACTCAAATTAGGCAAGGTTATTAAAGTTCTGATATGTGATGATTCAAAGAATCCCAAAAGACTTGTGATGTAGAACAAAGGGAAGTGACAGTTGCCAACAAAAGCCATGCTTTCACTTAACTCTTTAAACGGCTTGTAGGATATAACTGTTGTAAAGGAAGAAGAACAAATGACATCTACTATTCCTTCTGTAGTTTAGAGAGCAACCTAAGCAACCTGATGCATTCATTTGTAGTAACGAAACATTTATTGCAATCTTAATACGTGATAAGGCTAAAAGATACATAATCAGTTCCACATAAAAAGTAACCAAGAACTTGCTCAAAATTCAAAGAAAACAAAATAAAACCAATTATCTATTATGCTCCATAACTGAAAGTCCAAATTCGGCATATATAATGACACCTATGGAATCAAGTACATAACTCTTGAGCCTTCAAAATAATCAAGCTTTTGAACTATATAGCAATATCCGTTTGATCTGGTCAAAACATTGTACCTGATCCACTCAAGGTCTGACAGTTGGCTACAAGAAATAGTAGGCCATGAGCGCAAACGAATAAGGAAAGTAACTTCCTACCTTGAAAGATAAAATTTGCACAAAATTGCTAAGTACTTACTATCAGAAGAAGCTGCTGTTTAATTTTCTTCAAATTTGCTAAAACATCTTTCATGTTCATCCTTTCTCCTAGAGATTCTCTACAGCAGTTTAGAGCCAAATTCATGATCAATAAAACACACTTTAACTTGTGAGTGAAATGCTCATCCTCTGGCCTTATTAAGTTTGCATCAACGACTTGAAGTGCATCAGGAAGACAATCTTCTACCCAGCTTCTAAGGCTCAAATCTCCTGAAAACATTTCATCACTAGGCTTCATCCTGGAAAAAGTTTCAATCAAAACTATTCCAAAACTATATACATCAATTCTTGTTGAAACTATCCCCTCTGATCCATACTCTGTCATAAGATTACAATAGTTAGAATAATGGAATTAGCTAAAAGATTAACAACAGATGGACAAATGTCGAAGCAAAGAAAATGTAGACTGAAAAGGATAAAAGATTAACCTGGTGCAATGTATCCCAGTGTTGCGAGGGTGTTGGTATGCAAAATACTTTCTCCTTCGCCAAACATTTTTGATATTCCAAAATCACTTACATGAGCAACCATATCTTCATCAAGCAAGATATTACTAGGCTTTAAGTCACAATGTACCACAGGAGCATCATAACCATAATGTAGATATTCCAATGCACAAGCAACATCAATCATTATATTTATTCTTTGAAATAGATCTAAGAAATGGTCACGAAAGTGCAACCACTTATCAAGATTCCCATTAGGCATGTATTTGAGTACCAGGGCTTTAAAATCAGGGTTGGAGCAGCTACCGAGCACCATTGTAAGATTTCGATGGCGTAAACTCCTCAGTACCTCGCATTCTCTATCAAAGCTTTTTAATGCACCTTCCACTTGCAAGTTGAATACCTTGATAGCCACAACAATGCCATCACTTAGGATACCTTTGTAAACAGAACCAAAGCTCCCTTCTCCAAGCAAATTGCTTTCACTATAGTTATCAGTTGAGTGCAAAAGGTCATAGTAGGAAAATCTTTCATATTTTGCCACTGACATCAACTCTGTTCCACCTGAACCCTTTGGCTCCTTCAGCCACCTTTGAACCAATATTGCTACAATTGCTATTATCATTATTGCTGCAATCACTGATAGACTAATGAAAAATACCTTTCTTTTGCTTGAACTTCTAATTGAATTACACTGACATGGTTGAACACCAAGCCTTGGGTCACCACAGAGTGCTTCATTGTTCATGAACAATTGACCTGTAAAGTATCTGAAGGGACCACCTTGAGGAATTTCGCCGCTTAATCTATTAAAAGAAACGTTAAATTCCTTAAGAACCTTAAGTGTTTGCAATGACTTGGGTATCACGCCGGAGAGATTATTGTGTGAAAGGTCCAAGAATTCCAAGCTGACCATATGGCTAAATGATTCTGGTATAGAGCCCTGCAAATTATTTTTTGCCAATGAAAGATTCTGTAAAGCTTGCAGCTCCCCAATTGTAGTAGGAATAATGCCTGACAATTGATTAGCCGAGAGATCCAAACTGTACGTTGCTTTGAGGTTCCCAATCTCCAAAGGTATCGATCCACTTATGAAATTTGATGAAAGGTTGAGAATTTCGAGATTTTTCATGCTCAATAGTTTAGCAGGTATCACGGAAGTCAACCTGTTGGAGTCTAGAAAAATTTGTCTCAAATTTGTCATATTTCCTAAGCATTCTGGAATACTACCAAAGAATTGATTTTGGCTCAAGTCTAACAACCCCAAACTATGTAATCCACAGAAAATGTCCAAGACATCTCTTACTTGATTGGAGTCCAAGTAAAACATCTGAAGATTTGCCAGACTATGCATAGTTCTTGGGACAGATCCAATCAATTCATTACCTGAAAAATCTAGAACTAGTAAACTGCTCAAATTGCTGATTCCGACTGGGATGTTTCCTTTGATTTTACAACTGAATGCATTCAAGTGTTCCAGAGTCGAATAGTTAGAAAAAGAAGCAGGTAGAAAACCATTTAGAGGATTCTGATCCACTCCTAGATATTTCAAGAATCTCCAAGTCATCAAGAAAGTGAAAATGCTTAATTCTGGAGATGAGGGTTCACTTGACAGCTTGTTGAAAGCCAAGTTTAGATATTCTAGATTTCTTAAACTTCCTAAAGAGTCGGGGATTGAACCTGTAAGCTCATTATTGTCAAGCGACAAAGTAACTAGCCGAGAAGCATTTGAGATGAAGCTAGGTATAACTCCACTCAAGAAATTATTGTAAATATTAAAATACTGCAGATTGCTTAGCTTATTACTCATTGTCAAAGGAATAGTTCCTGAAAACTTGTTCTGGCAGAGTTGAATTGTTTTGAGAGATGAGATGTTAAAAATTGTTGCTGGTATGGAACCCGATAATGTATTGTTGTGTAACTGAAGCTCCTCCAATTTGTGAAGGTTCCCAATCTTTTCAGGTATTCCACCTGTAACATAGTGAAGTACTTTTGTGTTAGCATACCGTCGACAGCTTTTCATTGGCAAGGCTCTAAAATTAAAAGAAAAAAAAAAACTTTTTGAACAATAGGAAGTTTTAGGTCTCCCCTCCCCCACCCCACCCCAAACCAATCCACAAAAAAAAAAAAACCTTCTAGCAAGGCTTTAAAACCGACCTCTTTGAATATCAAATCCGTTAAAAGGAAAAGTTGATTTCATTCAACCGAAATATAGGCCTAAGTTATCCTATTACCTATAGATCAGCCTGATGCGGAGTTTTAAAGACAGTCTATGCAATTAGGAACGAAGGCATACCTGTCAATTTGTTGTTGTCAAAATCTAACTCTGTCAACATAGCTAAATCCCCTATTTCAATTGGAATTGCACCTGCAAAATTGCAACATTTATTAGTTTGATTTGACTTGTAATGGGAAAAAAGTTGTGATCCTTTTATTTTATAGATCCAATTGTATTCTGAACTTTGCCAGTGGTTTAAGCAATTAAGAGCTTTTACTTAGGAACCTTGACATACCAGTCAATTTGTTGTTGGCAAAACTTAAAATCCTCAACATAGTTAGATTCCCTATTTCATTTGGAATTGCACCTGCAAAAGTTCGACTTTTATGAGATTGATTTGACTTGTATTGGAAGTATATAATAACAACATTAATTGAGATTACTGAATTCTCCAAATGTATTAATTTGAAATGAGTATAGAATGTCTACGACATGATATAGGGGAGATTTGACCCAATTATAAACCAGGGTAGATTTACACAGCTGGTTTGAACTGGATTTGTGAGGGCCCAAATCCGTTGGCATAGTGGAATATTAATTCTAACCATTACAGAATTAGACCACATTTCCTTCTCTATCTTAGATCAATCTTCATTTCTTCTTCTTCCTCTCTTTCTCTTACTTTGCTTAATCACATATGTACAATTATTAATATATATATATTTATATTTTTGTATATTAAGTAATATATAATATATAACTATACATATTGTACCATGAAATATTAAAAATTTATATATAAATTTATAATAATTCATAAATATCAAGTATATATATATTTATGTACTTAATTATGAGCTTAGGTGAAACTCGATTTGATTCCAAAACTCATATTAAAGTGTGAGTTGAATTTGAACCTTCTAACTCAGGCCTGAACCCAAAAATTCAAAAGTATGAAAATCCTATTTATTGTCTAAACCAAGTTTGGATTTATCAAAGTCCAACTCATGGAGTCCAATTGACACACCAGCCTTGTTTTTTTTTTTTCCACAAACGTTAAATGTCATTTTATAGATTAAACTTGATACTACAAGAACTTAATTACAAAAGGTGGCCTCAGCCCTCCAATCTTTGTTGGCTGCTTCTATTAGCCACGTTGGGAAGTTCCTTTCCCAGTCAACGTCGTTAACTAGCTTTGTTGCAAATTGTGCTAGCCTATGACTTCCTACATTAGCTGATCTAGGTACAAAAGAGACTGTGCAAAAATCAAAACCTTTGATTAGGTCCTCAATGTCTTCCAAGATGGTTGCAAGTCTTGACACACCAGCCTTGTTGCAAGTCTCCAATCTAATGGATTCCTATGCTCGCACAACTACTTGGTTCCGCCTTAAGTCGGCTTTTGCGGAAAGTAAATCCCAAATCCTTCAACCCTTATTCCTCCTCACTCATTCCAAAATAACCTACTGTTCAATAACCAATACTCTGCTTGTCCTTCAATTTCACCATCAGATTGCTACTACCTCTACCGCTGTGGGTATCGCCCTCCTATGGATCTGTATGCCATAGTTTGCTGGTGTATTTTTTGTACAATTATGTTGATAGAATGTTGTTTTCAGGTGAAAATCAGATGAATATGGTAATAAAGAATGGGTTAAATGATGAGAAAGTGGCATGAAGAAAGAGGAATATGGTAATTTTGTTTTCGAGAAATGCAGGCTGCTAGGGGTGTATTATGGCCAAAATTTGAGATTATTTATGTTTGACTTTGTTCATCTTTTACACATGAATGTCTCAGGCTAAAGATTTCACCTCAATAGTAAATAGATGGGCATGGGAGAAAGAATTTGTTGGTAATGGAAAACTTGCTTGAATAGAGGAAGAGAAAGTTGGGGCTTGGGGGTATTATCGGACTTTTGATAAAAAAAAATAATGCTGCCATCAGTCAGACATATAAAAGGGGTAATTTCAGAAACCTCCTTTCAAGTTTCTAATAATATCATTTAGTACCTTTAAAATTTTAAAAATATCACTTACCTTCCCCTATTTTCAAATTTTTTTTTGTAACACTTTCAATCCAAGTCAAAATATATGATTAAAAAACTAATTCTAAAAGAATTGGTAATCTCATTCCAAAGTTATCCTTTTGTTATGATTCCTTAATTGTCATGATAATTTTTTTTTTCAAAGAGGATCAATAGTGACTTCACACTTAATCCCTTAATTAGGCCAATCAATCGGGCCTAATGAACCGGGCATTGATGAGTTCAAGATCAACTCATTTAATTTGAAACATTTTCGGATTTCGGGTTATGAGTTTCGGGTTCGTAAATGTGAAGTTCATACTCAACTCACATAATATTCGGGTTGTGAACCTTAATCGGGCTTAGCCCAAGCTCACTTATTACTTCTTAATTTTCTTAATATAATTACTATAACTATTAAGTTGTAAAACTAATTTAATATTTACAAGACTATAATATTAACACTAAACATGAACAAATAATAGTTCTTAAAAAGTATATATATAAACCAAAAATTTTTTCAACAATATTTATATTTAATCCGTTCAAAATGCATGAAAAATAGTAATAAAACATGCGATCATAAGCCAATACATCTTTAAAAGTTGAAACTTTTTTTATAATCTTGTGATTTAAATCCAAATATGTTTGATGATTTTTGTGTTTGTAGACAAAAAAAAAAATCAACCAATATTATGCCAGTACAAAAATTTACTCAACCAATAAGAAAAATTAAAGATTTAGTTATGCATTACTAATATTGGCTCTCAAGAAAGCTCATAAAAGAGTCATTAGATGTATTTTTGTGTTTTGTAATTTATATATATATTTAGTATTTAGTAATAATATATTTCGATATATAATTATACATAATATCAAAATATAAATATTATATATATAGGTAATTCAAGGGCCCGGCCTATATCGGATTTGAGCCTAATAAAGCCCAAACTCGGCTCACATTTAATTCGGATCTAATTTTTAGGATCAAACTCAGACCGACTCACTAAATGATCGTGCTCATCGGGCTTTCTGTCGGGCCAAATGAGCAGAGTTCGGGCTGGCCCAGTCCTATTGACAGTCCTACCCTTAATAACTCGAACCAATAATCTTTTAGTTACAAGTGAAGTATCTTACCAAATAAGCTGTGTTCTATTCTGCTTATGATAAAATAATTTAGAAACAATTAACATTTGAAAGCTTAATCAATGTGGTTATTTAATAGAAATATTTCTTAACCGATCTAAGAGATCCTTTAACAGTTTGTTTTGGTCATAATATGGACAAAAAAATTTAAAAATTGTATAAATTCTAAATATTTTACAAAACAAGTGAAAACCATGTGAAATACTGCAGAGATGAAAAAAAAAACCTTTTTAGCACCTTGAAAACATCTCAAATAAATTTAAATGTAATTGTGAACACTTTCCCTTCTTCTGGTTTTCATCATGAATTTGGACAAATAAAAAATAAAGACTCTAAACAATTTATAAAATTCCTTAATTTCACTCAGGACATGTTACATAAAAGGAAAGATTTCTTTTATTTGGTTCTCTAATGGTGTATTAAAAATGAAGGTAGGCCCAATATTAAAATTTTAAAAACAAAACTGACTTCTCGAATTGCAAAATTTTTGGATTCATCCCTTTTGTCGAAAAAAGGGTCCATTACTTATTACGTGGCCGTAGATCACCAAATAGACAAATCCCAAAGAAAAATCTACTTTTGCACTTTGGGAATATCTTAAATGAACTTTTATTTGTTTGTGCATTAAATGAACATGATATGCTTATGTTTGTAGCTACTATAATTTAACGCATTAGACTTGCATCTTCATGCTTTTTGCCTTTGTTTTCAACTTTTAATTATATCATTATAATTGTGTAAAATAATAGTGCAACAAAAGGGCAACGTTAGAAAGAAATTATTTTCTCTTTCCTAAAATTAGTAGTTTAATCATATATTTCAATTGTGTTAAAAGTATTACAAAAATTTAAAAATGAGAGAAATAAGTAATATTTTAAAAACATTGTGGACGCTAAATGATACTGCTAGAAACCTCAGGAATATGGTAAACATTAAGAGTTAAGACCCATACAATAAGGGTGTTTATATTATAAATCTATTTGGATGTAGGACCTTTTGATAGTATTGACAAACCTCAGGGTCTGATATGTAATTTGATAAACTGCAGAAGATCTAATGTAATTGATCGAAGAATATATACGCACTCATATATAAACGAGAATGTGTATGTAAATCCCAAAATCCAATTACATGATTTGCCTAGTTAAGGTTGAAATTTTGACTGCATATTCAAAGTTGTTAAAGCATGGTTCAGAAGAAATTGCCAAGTGATAGACCCAAAACGGAATCCACAAACAACACTCAGCATTTGTATATAAAACACATTATACCAAGATAACTAGAGCTCGTGGAACTCTAACGATTATGTACCACACACACTCTTAAACTTATACACCAATTTGCAATAGCAGGGACTTACCTCTCACTTCTACTAAAGACTGGCCCTCTAATTATACATGCACTAAGTTATCACAATTAAGACAGTGCTGATTTCCTTCGGGAAGATTCTCAAAATGCAACTTGCAGCTATATAAATCTAGTGAATGCTAGACTAATAGAGAAACAGAGAGGCGGCGCTCTCTCATCACTGTCTACCAAACCAGCAAAAAGAAAATGTTGGTATAGTTGTTCTTTTTGTCTGAAACCTCCATATAGAAGAAGAGAAGCATAATCTTACTAGATATCTCTAATGCAAATACAAGAACAGAAGCATAAGCTTAATCTATACTTAAAAAATAGGAATAAAAGCAGGTGACTAATACATTTTACCTGTTAAATTGTTCATCTGCAGGTATAGGTCCTCCAGCATTGTCAAGTTCCCGATTCCGTTAGGTATGGATCCAGTGAAATGGTTCCCAAACAAGGCAAGATGCCGAAGCAGTGAACACTGTGACACCGTTGAAGGTATTCGACCGATCAAATTGTTCTCTGCTAGACTAAGCCATGTAAGTTTCTGAAGGCGGTGACAGATGTCGTCCGGAAAAATGCCAGATAGGCTGTTATTCAAGAAGGAAACGCTTTCCATTGAGGAAAGATTGAAAGCATGGAAAGGCAAAGGACCGGAGAGCTGATTACTCTCAATAATCAAATTCTTCAAATTATGAAGATTCTGAAATTCTGTTGGAACGGTCCCCTCAATTGAATTCCAAGACAACCATAAAGTTTCCAAGTTTGACATGTTAGAGATGGAAGGCGGGATAGAACCCGTAAAGCTATTGTTTCTGAGGGACAGGTATTGGAGTTTGTATAAAGAACCAAACCAGGAGGGAAGCTCTCCACCGAGATTGTTGATCCCAAAATTAAGGTATCTCAATCTGCGCAAGTGAACTAACTCACGAGGCAATTCTCCGTGGAAATTGTTGCTGCTAATGTTAAGGGAAACCAGAAAGGACAGGTTCCCAAGTTGAGGAGGTAAGGTACCAGTAAGGTTCATCATTGAGATATTCAAGTCAGTCACTCTACGTTGTTGAGCGTCACAGGTGACTCCCATCCAATCACAGACGGAGGAGGTAACTGACCAGTTTTTTTGCAAGATTTTGTGAGAATCTGAAGTGATCATGCGATCTCTAAAAGCAAGAAGCGCTGATTGATCAGCTGTAATATTACCGTTGCTGGCTGCCATGATGGCTAACCAAGCTAAACTAAAGATAAACAAGAAAAAGTAGTAGATTTTGTTCATGGCAATGCTCATGGTTCGATTTCAGATTTTTCTGAGCTCACAAGTAAGAACTGGGGTCAAGTTTAACCCTATATATAGCTGTAGACGAGCATGGGAAGCAATAGCCAACACGCTCTTAGAAAAATAAAACCAAATAAATGGAAAGAGGCTGTAATATTGATATTCCTGCTAAGTTCCAAACAAGTACTATTAGATCATGGAAGGATGGACCTTTAGGGGAGGGACCTCCATCAAGTCGTGTTTTAACCTCTTGTAGGATTAGCAGGGCAGCAAGTCGGTGATGGGTAGAACAGTCTTCGGAGACCATAGCTTCAAGGTGAGGGCGTCTACCGTGCAAAACAGGACCGTTTCTTGATATATTCCAGCATCTCCCCATTCTAGTTTCTGTTGTCATGTGCGCTGGAAAGAAACAGACAAGCACTTGTCTCCCATCTCAAGTCGTTCCTGAACTCTCCTTTCAAAGTGAAGTGGGGACTTCTGCTATTCCATCGTGCAGGAGGGATATTTTTTAAAGGCACTCTTATTTTTCTCTGCACTAGTTTGGGATGTCGTCCGTTGCACATTGGAAACATATCAAGAAAATTTACAATGTAGTTAATTAGAGATATATCAAGGTCACTTCGAATTACAAAAAAAAAAAAAATTTTGTAAATAATTGTAGATAAAATTTTCATGTACGTAGACATATTACTTGTAACCAGTGCATATATATTTAAAAAATGCTATTTATTTTATGTGTAAAGCTCGAGTATTGACTTCTACATACATCCATATTACTTATTTAGTCTTAATATTCATTGGTTGGTATGTGAAATATGAAACACTGGCATGTCTAGATTATCAACTATACTTTGTTACAGGGCAAGTTCTGTAAAACCACATAGGCCAAGTATTTGATCTCTATAATATTTGTAATGTACAACAATAAGGCTTTTTTTTTTTTTTTAACCCTCTCTCCCCTATTCACATCCTTTCGACCCTGAAACTATCATGTTCTATTTAATCTCTATAAGTAAGTCATATAACAGTAAGGTTCTATTTGATCTCTATTAGATTTATTCGCTTTACTACTATGTGAGGCATCTTGTCGGGCCATTAGATTCTTGCTTTGATTTCGTTAAAAGCAATTTTTTTCTCGCAAGTTGTCGTCAACCAACATAACCAGTTGATTATTACTTTTATCATAATTGATAGATTATCCGTTACAAATCGGTTAATATCAATATTTTCTTCCCGTATTCATCAAGGCATTAGTGGATTGCCAATCTTTTTGACATCTTATTCCACCTTTTCCAGTCTAATCCGCTTGAAAGTTTTGCCAAAAAGGAAAAGAAAAGAAAAAGTTTGGATAGGACCTTGAACCAAAAAAGTGTACTGCTATGATCATAAATGCAGCTATGAACTTCGTTTCTCATTTCTTAGTAAAGGAATTTGAACTTTCAATACTCGATCATGCTATGCATCAACTTATTGCAAGAGCAACTTTTTGGTACTAACTCTAAAATGTTCCTGCAGTATTACATAATGGCCTATGTCTTGCAATTAAATAGAGCAAAAATATCCAAAGTCTTGACTTCTTTTATATTGCAATTGTGAAAAGAGTTTGGATGGAAATGAAACTGAAAGGCCTTACTAGAAAGTAGCACTTGCATTGCAACATGAACCAAATCAGTATGTTGATTTTTGGAATTATATAACTTAACCAAAACATATGTAGGTTTTCGGAATTATATAACTCAATGAATAACCAAAACTAGCAAACTATGGACTCGTGCTATTAAGCTTGATTGTTAAAGCATGTTCCTTCATTTTTAATTCGATCTATTTCTTTATTCTGTAAACTCCTAAATTATACTTTAATTAACAGATTTTCCATTCGTGCTAAGATTAGCTAATCCTTTTTCATTCTTTCACAGTTTAAGTTTCTAATATAGGCGGAGTATCCTTCTCGCCCCAACTCCATTTAAAATTGGGGGAAAAAAAATTCTCCAGGGCGGGGCGGAGCATATTGGCACCCCCGGTTGCCATCCTAACGACTATAATTTTTCCTTAAGTTGTAGAAAAATTTGCCGTGATGTTTGCTAGAAAATGGAAGGATGCTTCGTAAATACGTGAAGTGATAGACATTCTTGCGCACTTGTCATCAATTACAAATGTATAGCGTACTGTGACTGATAATCAAGAAGTCCACAATTCACCTTGCAAGAAAGACTTGGACTTCAAATGTTGAATTTTTCGAAGTTTGCTTCTTCTCCTTTGGCGACCATCAAAAAATTAAAAAAAAAAAAAGCTATTTTCATATTAGCATTTTTTTAAAAAAATAATTGAAAATACAATGGGTTGGAAATTCTTTTAATGAAAATTTAGAACATGTATAAGAAGATCATTTAGTTTGTACTTCCTGTTGTTTTCCAAAATGGTAAAGAGTATAGAGCAATTCATTTGTAATTTATACAAGTGCCCGTACATCTTGCTTTATGTCGACTCACGTTGTGATGACAAAAGTTTATTTCTTTCCTTGTTTCTTTTGTTAATTTTGTGTAAACTCAGAGACATTTTCCCTTCAACATACTTTTGAATGTCATCAAATGAAGTTAAAAGATAGCAAGCAAAGATTTTTTACTCGCACCTTCAATTTGCTTCTTATAGGACTAATATTAGAAAGAGAGTAGGAAAAAAAAAGATAAAGTTGCATCACTAAATGCAAATGTTAGCACCAGCAAAGTATCCTTTTGTAATTGTGGTCACATCAAACTACACCAAATTCTTGACTATGCACCGATTGCAATGAAGATGGCGACTGAGAAAACTACATACAAAATTGGTCTATATATTTTTCGACCTGATTTGGAAGATAAGCATAAGATAAAAAATTGTGTTACCGGGTTGAAGGGAAAGGTGATGTACCAATTATGTGGAAAGAAGAAAGCATTCTGCAGTTGTTGTACGTCACAAAGTCTTGGCCGTTTCGGCCCGTAGCCCAGAATACACATTAGAGACCTGCGCCAATGTCTTGGGGAAAAATACAGAAAAATGGAAATGAGATGAGAGCCAGTGTGATCGAAAGCGAGTTGAGATCTAGTGCTCAGTTTGGCTAAAAAACAAGGAGTGATGAACGGTTGTACTTTTCGAAGTGCTTGTATGTTTTCAGTGATCAAATGCTAATTAACTATGTGAATGGATCCTAAATTCTTTAACTAAACAATGAGCGACTCTACAAATATATGAATGGTTTTGCTTGATTAGAATCTTATCCTTCTTGTTCCTCTAAATATTACTTTTAGTTTCATTTTTCGGTGTAGGGATGTACCAAAAACTATAAAATAGCTATCTAGATAGTTAAAAGTCCGTTAAATTTTTGTGGGAGTTTGTTTGAAGGGTTGATATGAGTAGTAATCTTTCTTGAATTTAATTTAATTTGACATTTATATTCTATGCTTTCCAATGAGATTGAGAATCAATTAAATTTTTTAAGACTCTTATAGAATTTTTTTTTTGTATGTTTTATTCAAGGAGATGGTTAGTCACTTTAAATACATAATGTCTCTTTTCCTTTCGTTAAGCTCCAGAAATAAAAATCTTTTTGATGTGATGACAGATAAAAAAAAAACCAGCAATAGTCATAGACTCTAGGCGTAGAAAAATTGCCAAAGTGTTCGTCCTTCACGCACTGATTGGGAAGATTACTACAGTCGTAAAATTAGTAGCTATATTTTTAGGATTGAATAAGAAGATAATGTGCCAATTCTGGTTGGAAAGAAACCGTTCTATTGTCCTCGTAATTTCCAAGTCTTGGTATTGCTGGTCCCAGAAGCACTTAACATAAAGTTGAAAAAGAAAGAAGTGTTGGATCCTTAATCCAACATTGGACTTGGACTTATATGTGAATAATTATGTATTGCAAGTTGTCAATTAAGATTAAACCCAATTAAAGTGATCAAATATAGTTTGGGTTTAATGTATATAATAGGGTGTGGGCCTTTAATGTGTAGAGACTTATAGGCTCCTATTTCTATAATGGGTTGAAATAGGGTTCCAAAAGGTAACAGGAATGTTAACTATAAATAAGGTTATGGTCCCCAGGTCACAGGTATCATTCAAGTTGTCGTATTTTTTAATACCACAAAATAATTCTTCCCTAATATTCCATCGTCAGGAAAGATACCAGAGAGAAACTAAAGGCCTCTGTAACAGCCCCACCTTCCCCTAAGGCGAACCAAAGGGGTTAGCGAACTGCCTGCCCAACTCTCGCCAGGACTAACGGTACAGTTTACATCGTTCTATTACGTTCCGAAACATACCAAAGCGCGCAAACAAGTCAAAATCACTAAATAAAAAAAAACGAAAATCGAAGCCGGAATGAATAGTGCAGGACACGTCAGAATCCGGATTCGGTACTGTTCATCCTCGCCAATTTTTTTCCTTTCCGTTTGAAAATCGTGTCACTCCGAAATTCGTCCAAACAACAACCATACATATATATTCAATGGAAATCAACATTTACAAGCCAAACGGCCTACCAAAATATCCATTTAGTTCAAACATATACAAGTAGCCATTTACACATCACACATTGGTGGAAACAAAGCACTTAGGGTTTTCACCCTCAAGGAGCTATTCAAAATACATATACATGAGCTCAACTTGTCATTCAACTATCACAATCTTTTCCAAAAGTTTCATTTTCCTGTAAGAAAAACAAATGACACGGAATGAGCTAAAACCCAGTGAGCAACTATCACAATAGCAGTTAAGATCACATAAGCATAACCATTCAATTCAAGTATGCAATTTCGAAGTAAAGCAAATCAGTGAAAGGATACGGTCGGCTCTCAAGAGCCCATTCCACGCTTGCAATCTTGATCCAACCTCATTGACTCTCCGTCAATGTTAAAAGTACCAAACCGTAGACCACCCTTTACTTCCAATCCTTCCACCCATCA